TAACAAAAAGTTGTGTGTCTGATTGGTCCAAATGCTACACTTATATATCCAACAACGGCCGATATAAACTACTGTTCAAAAGTTTGGAGTCGATATGATTTTTTTAAAATGTTTTTGAAATAAGTTTTTTATGCTCACCAAGGCCATATTAATTTGATCAATAATGCTGTATAAACAGTAATACTGTGAAATATAAACTTTTAAATTATTGTTCCCTATCAGTCAGTCACGTTCGACGTTATGTCGACACTGATGTTAGGGGTCCCAATCACCTCTGAGCATTACAAGAAACAGCCAAATAAAATTGGCGAGTGGAATTTGCATGCCAAGCCACTCCCCGTACATACGGGTATATAAGATGGTGGCGTGCATCCACTCATTCAGATTTTTGCTTCGGAGCCGATCGCACTTGAGCACGCTTTCTTCTATCAAGAGAAATTCAAGAAACACTTGACAGTCTGCAGGAGGTTCTCGGCTGCATTAAGACAGCACATTCAGCAGTGTGTTCACCCTATTCAGCACAGATAAGTGATGTGTTCCACCTCTGGGTGCTCCAGCTTAAAAGAGCAATTTTCTACAGCTTGCACGGTCAAGAGTAACTTTCGAGATGTCTTTCTGATCGTGTGCTTCTGGGTGCGGTATGTTCCTTACCTCTGATGATGAACACAGTCGCTGTCTCATGTGCCTGGGCCGTAAGCATGCTGAGACGGCTTTCGTGGATGGTTCATGCCCGCACTGCGAGCGCATGTCCATGGCTACACCGAGGTCGTGGCTCTCTTTCATTATGAGGCTTCCCTCAAGCTCTACCCAGTGTGGTTCCTCTGGTAAAAATCACGGGGCCATGTTGGTTAAGAACAAGAGAGATCTGAGGAATATGGTCAGGAATGTTCCACCAGGCCAGCCCCCAAGGAAGTCCTTCTCCTTACAGTGTAGTGCCTTCAAGCTCTCAGATGATGGCGCCGGTTCGTCCCAGTGTCTCATTTGGGGTTCCTGAGGAGGATAAGATGTCTATCAAGGCATCAGAGGAGGGGCTATTGTCTTCTGACGCAGAAGACTCTGGTGAGCAGCCCCCAGTTTCGGCGGCTGCACAGTTGGAGTCGGAAGCAGAGTTGACAGCCATGGTCCTTTGGGATCCAAGAGTATCGGGCTGGAGGTGAACTCGCCTCCATCCCCCGATCACTCACGGCTGGACGATTGGTATCTGGGATCCAGACGTGACTCTCAGCCATGCTCAGCCCCAGTGCCTTTCTTCCAGAAGGTTCATGAAGCGCTTACCAAAAGTGTAAGGACCCCTACAACGCCCGGTCAAGTTTGAGCTCTTCCCTCCTCACTACCCTCAATGGTGGGTACCAAGGGGTACATCGATGTTACCCAAGTTGAGCGTGCAGTTGCTGTGCACCTGTGCCCGCAAAATGCCACCACCTGGAGAAAATTCAGAGCCTCCCGTCCAAAGCTTGTAAACTGTCGTCAGCCCTGGATGCCAAGGATTACAGTGCTGCGGGCCAGGCTTCCTCCGCCCTGCACGCCATGGCTAGCGCTCAAAAAGCTGCACGAGGGTAGTTCTGACCAGGGGTTGATGCAGGAGTTGTGCACGGTGACTGACTTTGCCCTTTGGGTAGTTCAGGAGCGCCATCTCTGGCTGAATCTGGCTGAGATGCGGGACGCCGACAAAGTCAGTTTTCTCGAAACCCCTGTCTCACAGGATGGCCTCTTCAGAGACACTGTTAAAGACTTTGCCAAGCAGTTCTCTGCGCTTGTGGCGTCATTCCTCTGGTTAGGATATGTGCGGTTATCTTCATCCAGTAAGTTCACCATCTGGTGAATCAGGGTCGATTCCTCCAGCACCCTGTGGTATTCGACTTAGTGGAGACTTGGACTTACTAGACTAGACTTATTCGTCCTCCCTGGTTAGCCCGTATTATTTGATAGATGATCTGGCTTATAGGTCATTGGGTAGGTTATGGATTGAGGAGCATCTGTACTGACACACTTGCTTGTCAGCACCTGCACCTTCAATAGGGACCCCTAACGTCAGTGTCGACGTAACGTAGAACGTGACTGACTGATAGGGAACGTCTTGGCTACGTATGTAACCCTCATTCCCTGAAGGAGGGAATGGAGACATTACATCCCTCATGCCACAACCATGAACTGTGCTGAATGCCAGGATGCTTCTCGTTTCCTCACCACAAACCTGAATAAGTGGATGCACGCCACCATCTTATACGTATACTCGTATACGAGTGACTTGGCATGCAAATTCCACTTGCCAATTTTCATTGGCTGTTGTAATGCTCTTGTGATGCTCAGAGGTGACTGGGGCTCCCAAGTGAGACCCCTAACACCAGTGTCAACATAACATCTTCTTTCCATCATTCAGGGAATGAGGGTTACATACGCAACCAAGATGTTTTCTATTTAAATATATTTTTAAATGTAATTTATTCCTCTGATGGCATTACTCCAGTCTTCAGTGACACATGATTATTCAGAAATCATTCTACAGTAATTTGGTGCTTTATAAATATTTCACATTATCAATGATAAAAACAGTTATCCTACATAATATCCTATATATATATATATATATATAAATAACTGTGCAACATTTTTTTCCCGATTCATTGATAGAAAGACCAACAGAACATTTTATTTGAAACAGAAATATTTTTTATCATTAGAAATTTCTTTACAGTTACTTTTGATCAATACCCAAACTTTTGAGCAGTAGTGTACATCTAATATCAACTTATATCTTAAATTAAAAAGCAAATGATATGGTAATGATTTGACATGCATCACTAAATCAAACACGCAATAATTTAGCATATTGTTCAGCCTATGCAATTATTGGTAATATTAGTACATTTCAGTGCTCGATTGCAACAATGACTTTTGTGAACTTGTATGTCATTCTAATTTCTAAGTCTGTTTAGGATCAAGATAACTTAGAAATTTATTTTTTTAAGAAAAAAAAACAATTGATCTGAGTAAGATTAAGTGTTTTTGTTCACAGAATATGGCGGAATCCTCATCAGCATTCATTTTCTCAATTAAAATAATTGTAAATGGAATTTATTTGCTGAAAATGAATAAAGTGTTGACGTAAAGGTCAGCTCATGGGACTTGGTGTCCCCCTTACCTAACCTTAACCAACCTCCATGAGAAACCCTTTCTCTCACCCCTTCTCTCTCTCCAGTTCTCTCAAGACTAAAATCAAATTAATAATGGTCAGGTGATCTGGATGAGGACTATTGATTGCCATTTCTCATCATCACAGCTCTCAGGCAATGGACAGAT